GTCAGGAGCCGGGGGTTTCAGGATGATAAATGGGATCAGACCATTTTTTGTTGACTTCCAACCAGTGTTGCCAGAATATATTTTTATAATGTACCAGATTTATCTAAAAAATGTACCAGATTTCATAAAAATGTACTAGATTCTATAAAATTACCAGATTTTTCTAATTATGAAGTTTGATCATTAAAGAGCAAAAAAATGTTTATAGAGAACACGAACACAACAATTTTAAACAATATTTTATCTCTCGACAAATTTGTGACAATATTTTATCTCTCCAGCAGTTTTTGAATAAGATTTTAATACCTTTTGATACTCTTTTATCTCTCGAACAGTTTTTATTTTTTTTTATCTCTTGAGCTATTTTGAAACAATACTTTATCTCTCGATAAATTTCTAACAGTATTCTATCTCTCGAGCAATTTTTAATAACTTTTTTATAACCCTCGAGCAATATGTTTGTACAAAATTTTTAACACTATTTAATCACACGTGCAACTTTTAACAGTTTTTTTATCTTTCAAGCTATTTTTGAACAATATTTGATTTCTCGTGCAATTTTTGAGCAACATTTTAACAATTTCTAACACTATTTCATCTCTCGGGCAATTTTTAAAAACTATGGAATTATCTTTGACATCAGGGAAAGATTTTGTATTTCAACAGGATGGAGCAGGGTGTCACACGTCAAAAAAAGCTCTAAAATGGATGGAAGACTTCGGTGTTCCACTTTTGGAATGGGTTTCTAGTAGTCCTGATTTATCACTAATAGAAACATTGTGGCATGAGATGAAAAAGGTACTTCGAAAACATCCTGCAAGAACAATACCTGAACTTAAACAAAAACTTCAAGATATATGGGATTCATTTACACCAGAATTTTGCCAAGGCTTAGTTAATACCATTCCGCAAAGAATTTCAGCTGTAATAAAAAATAAAGGTGACGTTACTCAATGGTAAACTTTAAAATTGATTAACGTTTGATTCCAACTATTTGTTTATTTTTTTTTAATTTTATATTAAATAAATATTTTAATGTTTTCTACATATTTTTTATGATTAAACGATATTAAACATATTGTTCAATGAATAAAAATTGGAAAGTTCATGCAATATTTATATTTTTAATCTTTAAATACGAATTTCCTAAATTTCAATAGGTGGGCCAACTGAAATGGGAAGGGGCTCGTAATTTAAAAATTGGGAAGATAAAAATTCTTTTAGTTTAGAAGAATTTAAATATTTAACTTCAATTTCTAAACAGAATTTCCAAGTATTATATGAATTTTGTGAACCAATAAAACAATATGGTAACTTAAGAAACATTGCTCAAAAAGATTTACTTGCTTTCCTTATTAAACTAAGACATGGATTGTCAGATGAGTTTCCAATCTGATATAAATATACATAAAGAGGCAATATAAAGAGCCAATACTCCAGTCAAAATAAACATTTAATTCGATCGTTATTCATTTCCCTAAATCCTACTTAGACCTACCGTATAACGAACTTTTTTTGGAACTTCCATTTAACTCTCGATAAATTTTTAACAATGTTTTACATCTCGAGCAATGTTTGTACAATATTTTATCTCTCGCGCATTTTCTAATAGTATTTTATCGTTCGAGGAATTTTTAAGCAATGTTTTTGCTCTCGAGAAATTTCTAATAGAAGGTATCTCTTGAGACAATTTTGAACAATATTTTATTTCTCGACAAATTTTTCAATAGTATTTTATCCCTCGAGCAATTTTTGAACAAGGGTTTAACATTTTGTAATACTATTTTACCTCGAGCAATTTTTGAACACAATTTTAATAATTTATAATACTATTTAATCTTTCGAAAAATTATTAAATATTTTTATCTCTCATTAAATTTCTAACAGTATTTTTATCCCTAGATCAATTTTTGAACAATATTTTACCCCTCAAGCAATTTCTAATACTATTTTATACTTTGGTCAATTTGTAACACCCTTTTTTACCTCTCGAGCCATTTTTGAACAATATTTGATCTCTCGTGCAATTTTTAAACAATGTTTTATCTCTCGAGAAGTGTCTACTATTTTATCTCTGAAGTAATTTTTAAGAGCTATTTTAATTTCTCTTGCAATTTTTAACCAATATATTTTACACTTCAAATGGAAACATACGCTGAAAAAAGTACTAGATTTTGTTTCGAGTGTACTAGAGTACCAGATTCTCAGAGAATGTACTAGATCTAGTACAATTATACTAGACTGGCAACACTGCTTCCAACCCAACAGCTTCGAAACTAAACTGTTGCCGGGCCTAGCTGTACTTGTAAATATACACGCAAGCTATGCTGGTAGGCTGTAGCATCGGTAGGAGGAATATATGCAATGTTACTGGAAAACTTAAAGACAGATGTCACGTACCTACTGCTTGTATCGCAGCGCATTTAAGGAAGTTCAATTAAGTCTTGCCTTGGTTATATAAAGATGACGTCAAGTCGCATCCACTCATCGCGTGTAGAAACATCATGTGCTTGGCAAGATTTTGTTTCTCTGCAGACTGTGGTTGGTACAGCAACTGAAGCGCTTTTCCTTTACCTGGTTTCAGCAGATAGACGTTTGGAGAAGTGTTGAGACTCCTCATTATCACCAGCAGATCTACATCTTTCCCCACAATCGCAACAGTTTGATGAATTGGGGCCAAGGATTCGGCTGTCCGAACAATCAGTGAATCCGCATCCTCGTTTGCTTGTCTGAAGACAATTCCAGCTTCTTCACACTTTGCCATTAGCATGGTGGTTAAGCTACTTTTGTTTTTGTTATTACACAGAAACTTTTCTACACCGTTGGTATCATTGTGTAGCTGAATCGTATTTCCATTGAGTGTTTTTTGGTTGATCTCCCCAACCGCTCCATAGAATTTATGAGTTTTTTGCAGTTTACACAAAAGTTTTTGAAACTTCTTCATATTGGTCAAATAAGCGCTTAGAAGGAAAATGAAGAAATGATCAGTATATGCATATATACGGATCCAAATTTGAAATTTGGATGCTCACTGAACGCTAAATTTGATGCTCTACAACTTTTGTTGCACGAGTTTTTCATGTAGAGTGGCTGTTTTCACAGACGTCTAAAAGTGAGTTTTTTGCGGTTTTCACAAAAGTTGCTAAAATTTTGTTATAAATCGGTCTAATTTAAAAGACACAGATTTTTATGCTCTTCAACTTTGAATAAAATGACATTTTCCGTACAATGCATCGTTTCCATTATATGAGTGGAAAACCAGAAAAACTCCGAAAATTTAGAGGATTTTTGCGTTGTTCGACCTAAAGCGGCACTGCTACGAGACAGCAAATTTCAGATTCGTGTTCAGTACCCCAAAAAATATATAATTCCGTTGAGAAACCTTCTACCTTACTCATGTTACGAAACAGGCACTATTGACTACTATTTGATCAGACCAGCATGGGGATCACGACACTCGATTCGACTTAATCGTACAATTCGACGTTCGACTCGACCCCAATTCGAAAAAAGATTCATGAAACTCGATCGAGTTGATTTTCGTTTATTGTCGGTTTTTGAAGTCATTTGAACTACTACCAAGACAAATGTAATGTTGTGTGTCAGTTACGTTATGTTCTATGGTTGCGTTATGTGTCCTGTGACTGTGACTGCATTAATTACGTGTTCGTTTTCGTTTTGCAGTATTAGTTCCGTCTATAGCACCAACTGTACCAGGAAATCCCTATCTATTTAAAAACTCTAACTTAATAATACCTCCTAAAGTGGCGCTAAGAAACAGTAATAAAGCCTACACAGGACACGAAGCTAATGTCCGTAGTAGTCGACGCCGATGACAAATTAAAAAAAAAAAAATAATATCTTGGTTATTTGCAGTTTGAAATTTTATTTTAGTACCTACTACGTGATCTATCATCACAGTACTTTGAGCCATTCCAAAAATATACTCTTGACCAACACATCTTTGATATGAACCTACAGCATAAAATCTTAAGGCACATATTAGCAATCGACATGCCCCTAAAATCCTGTCTTTGGTGTAGATGAGGTCCTAAAGTGTCTATTAATTCGCGAACTAAGACTTTATTGAGGCGAAATAATCCCAAAAAACGTCTATCCACAAGAAGAAAAGGATCGCCGTTTCATCGTAACAAACGCTTTCTAAGCAATCGAGAAATTCCGATCGAATCGAGACGATTATTCGAATGTCATGAATACATTTTAAACATTTCAGTCGATTAATCGAGATCGAGTATCCCAAATCGAGTGTCATGATCCCTATGTAGATCTTTTTTATATAGAAATACCTCTAAAAATGTATGACTGCTAGCCTGAAACATCGTGTATGATTTACGGAATTGGCTTTCAATACTATTTCTATGATACTATCGAGTTTGGCATCATCTAATTCGAGTCGATTAGTAAATACCATCCCTGTTTCTCCCTTTTCTTTAGAGTTATATGCAGAAGTACGATAAGTGACTAAGGATAGTCCAAGTAAGTTTTCTGGAATAGCAAGAGTGACTAGGAGGATTCGCCAAGGCCAAGGTTGATGATGACTTCAAAAAAAAACCAATGTGGCCATTCCACTCCTATATGTAAGTACGTATCTATTTTGTTTAACATTATGGGTTATTTATTAGTGCGACTTTTACTGTTTAGGCAATATAAATGAATTTAATTTTAAATTCATAGGTAGTAAAAGCATTTCTAAGCTAGTTAAATATCAGTAAATCACATAACAATGGGTAAACGTGACCAATAATAATGATTAATTTAAAAAAAAAAGAGCATTTCGATAGCTTAATTTTAACACCTCATAACCCACATAGTAGAGGCAAAAAACTCTCTCCTGATACATGTAAGTTTATTTGGGACAAGAGGTTTAAGTAACCGATAGTGTCCATCTTTTTGTATTGAGTAAACGTAAAAACGTGAATTCGTAAAATATGTGGGTTACAACTTGCTCGAATTAAGCCATCGATTTCCCTACTACTTACCTATTGAACTGATTGTGTTGCCAATCTTGAAATGAGTAACTAAAACAATTATTATTAACATTAATAATACCGAATGATATCAGAAATATCACTTACTCAGCGAAGAAAAATTTACTTCTTCGATTTGACCATTTTTCCCTCAATTTCATCAGATATTCTTTTAAGGAACCTCCCGATACAAGTTCTAATATCATCATATATGGTTGTTCAATTGTAACACATGCCAGTAGGCTCACAATATTTTTGTGTTCACCAACTTTTTTTAGAATATTCATTTCATTTAGTAAATCTTCTTTTTCATCGTCTGGAGCCTCTGCTAAAATTGAAATGAGATATTTTAACTATTTTTTTTTTAATTTCTCCTTGTTACATTAAAGAGATCGTCTCGCATTTCTACATTTCAAATTAAGTTAACACCCAGAATTGATAAGGTAGCTACTTACTTCGCAACTGTTTGATGGCAACTTTAGTATAACCTTGATTATCTTTCAGACCGAATGCATGCCCATAATATACCACCCCGAATGCTCCTGTTCCAATTTTATCTTTAATAACGATTTTATTTCTTGGCAATTCGTATTTATCGTATTTATGTTTATTCTGAAAACAAGCAAAACTTAGAATTTAAATCAATAAATGGTGTCTACAAGAGGTATTGTGTACAAACTACCAGGTCTTCAACAATACCCGAAACCCACGTGATCTGATAACCATCAAAAACTCATCGAGAGGGCCTGATTTGACGTAAAAGGAACTAAACTAAACTGTCAGTCCTGTCAGAAATGTCACTGGCGTTCATTTGGGGACTGAGAATATTTATATTATATTTGTTTACATTTTGTAAATACCTTTATTCCATTTTTCATTTAATATTAATAGAGCAATTAGTTATTTTTAGAGATTATTGGCGGTTTAATTCTTTTTTGTTGGTAAGTACAAATTTATTTACTGTAACTCGTAACAGTTAATGATTGTATATCATTTATTTCAGGTTATGTTACACTAGAACAAAATTATTTTATATTCGTAATTGTATTTCAAAATTTGAAGAACGTTTTCCAGGTGAATAATGGAATGTGATTCTTTTTTGTCGTCACAAACAAATATTTGGTCAAAATTATAAAAAAGGAAAAAGCTCTAAAAGGCCCAAAGTAATAACAAAAGCTGTTGAAGATGTGCAAATTAACATGTTGCAAATTGCCAATAAATTAGTAAAAAAAAACAGCACTTCAAACAGGTGACTCTGACAAGTGAAATTCAAATTATATTTTTTTTAGGTTTGTCGCTATGAACTAGCCATAAAGTATTGAAAACATTTCTGATAATGCATCCCCTATAAAGTTTCGGTACTGCAACAATCATTTTAGCTTAATTTTGTTAAACCTACCTATTGAATATTACAAATCGCTCAATTCAAAATCGTTTGTGTGACGTTTATGAACTGGGGCACCTATATTAAATAAAATACAAAATATAACTGAGAAGAAACTGCATAATGTGTTCAAAAAATCTGATGTGTCCAACACATGACTTTCCTATCTAGTTATTACAGGCTTTTTCCGTTTATTGTGTACAACCTATTGCAGCATCTCTATAAATGTTTAGAGGATAAACTAAATATATACATTGTCCACATACATCTACCGCGAAACATTTTTCTATAGATATTCATTGAAAATGAAAATACTGAAAAATTTAAATTTAGCACTTTTCCTACAATTTTTCCATTACGGTCCATTTAAAAAAAATCATGTATGAACAAATATTATAGAGATCGATATCGCAAACAACTTTTATTTCAACAATTTTCATAAAAATCAGAATTTTGCACATTTTGTCAAATTTCTCGAATACGGACCATTTCAGGAAATTTTTACATAAGGCAAAAATTATAGATAATAATATTAGAAGTAACTTTTATTTGAACAATTTTCTTCTCCAAACATAAATAACAGATATATTCCATAAAATATAAAAACGGCCTCCCATAAAGTACCCCCCCAGATGTTCCGACTTTGTCCAAAATCTAATCATTTCACGTCAGGCCGAAATAAAACTTAAGTTTAAAATTTATTGATTTTTTCTTTATCCGTTTTTGAGTTTTCTTCAAATTACGAAATTTACACATTTTCTCAAATATCTCGAATACGGTTTATTTTAGAGAAATTATCTATGGGACAAAAATTATAGAGAATTATATTACAAACAACTTTTGTTTGAACAATTTTTATAAAAAAAAATATTTTTTTACATTTTGTCAAATTTCTCGAATACGGACCATTTTAGGAAAATTTTGTAAATAACAAAAATTATAGATCATAAAATAAGAAGTAACTTTTATTTAAAAAACTTTCTTCCCCAAACGTAAATAACAGATATATTTCATAAAATATAAAAATCACCACCTATAAAGTACCCCCCCAGATGTTCCGACTCTGCCCAAAATCTAATCAGCTCATTAGACGCTGGAATAAAGCTTAAGTTTGAAATTTGGTATTTTTCCGTGTATCGGTTCATGAGTTATGCGTTATACAGACACACACACACACACACACACACACACACACACACACACACACACAGACACACACACAGACACACACACACACAGACATCATTGCGAAAATAGTCAAAACGGATTCAGGGGACCTCAAAACGTAAAAATCCGTCGAAAACTCGAGGTCGAAAAAAATCATGATTCCTATACTTTCCTTATATCTGTATACAGATAGGAAAGTAAAAAGAACGATTGGTGCTTGCATTAAAGCTAGTGGTAAAGATTGTGCACCACACCGATTACTACTCAATATCCTTTTAAATAAAATTGTTGTTAATAGTTATAATTTAAAGTGAAAACTGTAAGGTAAAACAAATGTGTGCTTGTTACATTAATAATATTAATATTTTTTTGTATACATATAAGTAACAATGTATTTTGTAAATGGTTTAAACCCTGTAAAAAATAAATAATAGAACAAACTTAAATTATTTTTTTATCACTTCCCATTGCCCAGGTACAATTCCAGTAAGTTTTAAATTTGTTTAGTTAAACTGCAATAATTGCCAAGTACTGTCATTGTCTTCTGTTTATCGTATTTAAAGTTTCAGCTGTAACTAAATATCTTAGACTCAGTCTAAAGTAAATAATTTTTAATTTTATTCATATTTTAATGCATAACTTTTTTTGTCCATAACTTTCTGGTAAAGGTTTTTTTTTTTGTAATAGTGGCAATAACTAGTACGCATATTTCAGTTTATTATTCTTTTCGTTAAATACAAACTAGATATAATAGCTCAGTTCACTCGACCATTCACTGTTGGGTACTAATTAACAGTGCTGTTCCTAAAGTGGCGCTGGGAAACAGTAACAAAGCCTACACATGACCAAAAAAATAGCTCAGTTTTTAAGGTTATATTATTTCAATTTTAAAAATTAAATTATTGCATTTGACTAAATCTAATTAAAATATCGAATTCTAACATTAAAATACAATAATAATTAATATTATGATTTTGTGTTGTAATTCTAACAGTTACCTAACTGAATTTTGTTCTCGCAGTTACAGACCATGAAAAAAAGAAGATCTATTTTGTAATAAAATACCTACGGCACTGGCTCACATCTAGGGATTTTTACTTTTATTTTCACCAATCGCTGTCATGACGATTTGGTCACGTGGGTTTTCGGTATTGTTGAAGACCCAGTAGATAAAAACTATTGAATTCACAGAAAAAAAGAACCTTCAAGAACTGAGGGGAAACAACTAAAAATAGCATAGGAAGTAAAATACTTTGAAATTAGCCTTGCTTCTCCAGCTTTACAGAAACTATATCAGCAAACAGGACATATAGGGCAATATAAGGGGCATAGCAAACTCCACACAAAATTTATGTATGTAATTCCACATATTTATACATGCATGAAAATTCAGAATGTTTGTTCTGCTGATTTCGAATCACTTGTCTTTTTTGGGGCGGAACGTACGGAATGTGCCTAGCAGCCTAAACAGCTGATACTCGCACAGACCCGAAATCCAGCCATAACCCAAATATGCTCATTTCGTGCTATTGCTATTAACGATCCAGGATCGCCATGTGTAAACGAACGATCTTTCTCTACTTTGAGACGTCTAAATACGTATTTGCGATCGACAATGGTTCCAAAACGCCTTAACCATATTGGAATTTGGCATATCTATGCAGAGATGATTGATAGTCTCGGCATCAATTTATTGATAAACGAATTTATTGTAAAAAATTTAATAAGGACTGCAATTACACGCTTTTTAGTGAATTTATTTTGATTTTCCATTTCCTTGCGATTCTACTAAATATATTACTACAGTTTACTGCACCAGCTGATGCGAAGACAAACCTTCTTTCTGCGACGTCAATTGAGAATATTTTCAAAATCGCAAAAAATATGGTTCTTCAAAGTCGAATTTAGACATCATCGTCGTCCCAGAAAACAAAGTAAAACAAGACCATGTAAATAACTGTGAACTCTGAAGTATGAGTTTAAAAACTACCGAAACTATATAGGTTTTATTTTTAGGTAAATGCAAATGAATAAACTTACACAAAAGTATCGATTTTCACATTGGCCACACTTTAACTCACCCACAAAAATAAGTTACTATTCTATTTCAGGGAACACTGCTATTTTGACAGCATACATGTGGTAAAAGGATTGGCAGGGGAAACTTTCAAAAAAGATACCATTCTGAGTGTGGTGATGATTAATTAGATCAGCTCTACTTATCCTTTCTATTCTTCATTTTCCTTCCTTTCATTTCCAGTTGGTGATATTCTCTCTCCATTCGTCCTCTGTTTTATACATTTTGTCTTATTTTCGTTTTTATCTAACCCACTTTTACATGCAGCATAACTCGTTTTTTGGATTTTGCATTTGTAGTAGTCCAGTTGACGAAACCGAAATCGGGCTGGGATTCCGTTTCACGATTCGACTCGAATTTGATATCAAACTCCATAAAAGCAATTCCGTTTAACGAGTAGTCGATTCTATATCAAATCCTTAAATTTTTTAGGGAAGAAAGAAATTTAGTTTTCAGGGCATACCTATATCTCTGGCAATGCCTTTTATGGATAACCTATCGTGCAACAGAGGTCTTTTATATCCTTGGAATATCAATAAAAGGATTAGTTATTATACAAAACGATACAAAATATAAACATTTATAGATTCTCTTTATTCAGCTGAAAAAGTTCTCCACGACGATTTTCTGGAAGTTCAAAAGAATCGTTTCTTTTTTGTAACTCATCCTTTCTTTAGTCTAATAATAATAAATAATATTTTTATAATATAACCCATTATGAGTGATCCTTGCAACTCTGAATGCAGAGTTGTTTGTACCCGGTGAGGGATGACTATTATTATTTTCCATGGCTCTCCGAGGCAACTTACAGATGTCATTTGAATTATACCCCGGAAAAACCCCACACATAAGCATAAAAACTAATAAATAATTACAATTTAATTTTTGTTGTTTGACGTTAAAAGTCGTGACATTCTATTCTGTGTCGAGTAACTCGACACATAATTCGATCGAATTAAAAAAAGCGATTCTATAACTCGATCT